ATGGTTATGGAAGATACAATTCAGATTATTGTTGTTATTTCAAGAGATTTGAGTCTAGCTTTTTCATATTATTATTATACGTTGATGACATGTTAGTAGCAGGATCGTGTTTAGAGGAGATAAATAGTTTGAAGAAGAAGCTAGGAAAAGAGTTTGTAATGATGGATCTGGGTGCAGCGAAGTAGATTCTAGGGATGCGAATCAGTAGGGATAAAGCTAAAGGGACGTTGAGGTTAAGCTAAGATGAATATATCGAGAAGGTACTTCAGCGGTTCAATATGCAGAATGCTAAGGTTATTAGCACACCTCTTGGAAGTCAGTTCAAGCTATATGAGAAGCAATCACCTAAGACAAATGCAGAGAGAGGGCATATGAGCAGGGTGCCATATTCTTCGGCCATTGGAAGTCTTATGTACGTGAAGGTTTGCACGAGGCCGGACATTGCCCATGCAGCGGGAGTTGTGAGCAGGTTTGCAAGCAATCCAGGGAAACAACATTGGGAGGCCGTGAAGTGGATATTACGGTATCTGAGAGAGATAATGAATAAACCACTATGTTTCAGGAGGAAGGAGTTGGTGCTGCAGGGATACATGGATGCGGACTTCGCCAGTGATCATGATACGAGGAGAAGCACCACGAGGTATGTTTATACTTTGGCATCGATAGTAGTGAACTGGGTCTCATGTCTACAAAAAATTGTAACTTTATCTACAACCGAGGCTGAGTGTGTTGCGGTGACTGAAGCAAGCAAGGAGATGATCTGGTTAGCAGGATATTTGGAAGAGTTGGATCTGAAGCAAGGGAGAAGAGTTCTTTATTATGATAGCCAAAGCGCTATACACCTTGCCAAGAATCCAGTATATCATGCCAGAATGAAGCACATCGACGTATAGTACAATTTCATACGCTCACTGATCGAGGACAGGAAGTTACATTTAGAGAAAATTTTGGGGAGTCAAAATCCGGTAGACATGTTGACGAAGACAGTCACCATAGAGAAACTAGAGTTGTGCGCAACTTCAGTTGGCCTTCACGAGTAGAAGATAAAGCCGGAGCCACACTAGGATGATCGGTGAGATCATCGGGATGATGATAATTGAAGAAAGGATTTTTCCGGGGAGAAGAAGATACTTGCAAAGAAGGAGAGAGTTTGGGAGAGCCCGTTGATGACGCTTTGGTCATCAAGTAGGAGATTGTTAGTCTAAGTGTAGACCCAAAGCTGAAGTCAAAGCTAGAATCAGGAAGACGAAGGAAACAGTCAAGACAAGCTACGGTCGACCGCGACGGTTGGTGCGGTCGCCCGCGAACGTGCACGAGACAGGAAAAGTCTCTGGACTTTTTTCGATCGATCACGGCAGATGGTCCGGTCGACCGTGAGACCCTGTAGGTGTTTTTTTGGGTTTCTGTCATTTATCCGGTCGACCGCGACTGGTTTGGCGATCGACCGCGAGTCGAGCTGGCAGTTTCCTAAACTATTTTGAAGTCTGTTTAGGCTGAGATTCATATATATACCTATATGTTTCTAGGGCTAATGAGAACGTCGAAAAATGGTTAGAAGAAAAGAAAAAGAGAGCTTTTGAGAGAGAATCTAAGAGAGATTAAACCCTAGTTTGAGTGCTTATATTCCTTCTTCAATTAATCAAAGGAATTGTGTGGTGTGGCTCCCAAGGACGTAGGCACGTTGTCGAACCTCGTTAAATCCTTGTGCTCTTTTTGTTCTTATTTCCTACAAGTTTTTTTATCTTTGATTTATGGTGAATTTCTTTCTTGGTCAACTCTCAAACACAAGATCCGGAAGGGTACGGATTTGATTTGATTGTTTCGAATCCCCAACAACGAGGGAAACACCAAAAAGTGATGGAAAGTGGGTTTTGTAAAGTAGAGGTAAGTAACAAAACAGCCCCTTAGAGTTGATTTAGAATTGTTTCACTACCGAAACTGACAACGGATGAGATAATAATTTGGCTTGGCAGAAATTTTCCCCAAGCGCTGTGCAGTCAGCGTCGCATATTATGAACATCCCAAAACTAGCAAAAATTTGGAGGCTATTGGTGTTCTGATGGTTCAAGGTGTTAGGAATATTAGCTGTTTAGACAATAATTAGCATGAAATACAGTTAATAATTTTCAAATAATGAATTAATATTATAACACAGATGTAAGAAATAATTCAAACGAAAAGAAATAAGGGTTAGAAATACGGCGTGATAGTCGAGGCGTGCAAGGTACTGTCCCAAGAATCTAATTGCCCCCTCTCGTACAGGGCTACGCGGCAAAAGTTCTCGGAGATATAACGACCCTCGGTCAGGCGACCTCCTTCTTGTCGGCACGAGCTTCAAGAAGGTTTTACAAATTCTTCATGACTTTCAGGGAACCAACAAATCGTAACAGCAAGTAACCGTAAGAGGAAGAATAGAGAAGAAGAAGAAGAAGAGCTTGTTATATTTTGCTGTGTATTTTGGCCTCGCAGCTTGCGGTTTATATAGAGGAAGAAAAAACGTTATTTAGCTAGCCATTTAACACGTTTTTAATGCTAATAAACATTACTGTTTAATACATTTTAAATGCTAATTACGTTATAAACGTTATGCAATAATTTAGCTAGCCGTTTATTAATTATTATCATATTAAACACGTTTTAATTGCTTAGCTCGTTTTAATTGCTTAACTCGTTTTAATTGTTTCAATTAGCAAAAAATAAAAATGTAGTAGGTCAAGAGCCCCTCAATCCGGAGCTGCATTAGTGTCCGCAGGTCGTGTGCGCGTGCCACCCGACCCCGAGCCTGGCCGGCGCGCGCGTGTGTGGTGTGGAGCATAACCTTTATTTTCTTCTAGGCATAGAAGAGAAAGGGAAGGCTTATAAAGAGCCTATCTTCCCATCTCTTTTCCAATGTGGGACTAAACTTTTTATCTTTTCCTCTTTTCCTCTACAAACTTTTTATCTTTTCCTCTTTTCCTCTACAAACTTTTTATCTTTTCCTCTTTTCCTCTACAAACCCAAGTTTTAAGTTACAACTCCAACACAAGGGACCATGAGGATGAAAATCATTTTGCTTCTATATATGATGACAGTTACTAGTGCAGCGTGTATCTTTTACTTGTTGAAGCAAATGTGATCAATCTTTACTGAAAACAAGGTGATAAATGTTTTACGTCCATGCTTCCATAAATGGACATTGAGCCGGTATGGCCATGTATGAAGCTAGTATGGTCATGATTTTTCTCAGCCAACCATTTCATCATTTTACGTTGCCTTATTGGTCTAGCATGGAACTTCATGAGTTTGAAAAGAGTATTTTCGCATAAGTCTGCAGTGCAAAGGGGCTGCGGTGCGGGTGACCTTAATTTGGCTATGTAATGCTCGACTGCCCTCTTCAAAAAAAAAAAAAAAAAAAAAAAATTTTACTGAATTCCATATGCGTTTTAATCCTCGATAACCGTGGCTTCTTAAGCGGCAGAGATCGTCTCAGGACCACAAGTAGATCGTACCCCAGGAAATCGGTAAGTGTGACGGCATAGATTTTCGCATAAGTGCCATCCCAAAAATAGGCAAACAAGGATCTAACCCTAACCAAGAAAAATTGAGTGATACCATCTTTATCTGCTGGAACTGCTCAGCTTAATTAAGTTGGTCCATATTACTCCCCAACAAGGATCTAAACCCTAACCAAGAGACAAACTAACTTGAGAACAAGTCGTTCTCAAATTGAGGAGGGGGGCAAATAAACTACATCACAACTACTAAAAGAAAGAGCTGCAGACGTACCACTGAACCGTACAAAGAAACATACATTTCTGACATCCGACCACCGTCACGTTGCACAAATTTTTTAAAACTGCTCTCTGAGACGAGAGTAAAATGGCATCTACAAGCAAAAAAAAAAAAAAATACCACAAGATTAGCTAGGTTCACATCGTATTATTGTGATCGATCAGATGCAACATCTTCACGACTCGTGACTGCGGAGCACAGTTTTTTACTTCACAACCCAATAAGTGATAGAAACGAGTAAAACGTAACCAATCAAATCACGTATCCGATTGATTTGTGCAAAACTAAAGGACCGAGCACAAAGACGACGCGTACTCTTCTTACGCTACGTTCGCTCATCCGGAAGTACAAAAATAATTCAAACAGTTGATTTCTTCAGCGACTGATCGATTTATCCATCACACGAGACAGACAAATTTAGCCATCCGTAGATGCTACATGTGCGATCGGTCAGACGTCTGACACGTGTACCTTTCGTACCGGAACTTCAGCGTACCGTGCACCAGCCTAAACAGCTAATCTGCTCACTCTGGGCTGCCCGAACGGTAGCTTACGCATGCAGAGCACGTGACAGGAAATTAGGAAGCTTCCCTGGTCCGTACGCGCCTAAAACCGCTGGAGTTCATCTTGGCCGTTGGGGGTCCTCATCGGACGGTGAGGCTAACTAAACAATCTAAACCCCTTGAACTGACCCGAAACAGGAGTAGCCATGCATCGAGGGAGCAGCTGAGGTGAGAAACACATGAAAAATAATGTCCACCTATTTAAATTATTTTATACTTCGTATAAGTTTTGTCTACAAAAAGAAAGAAAACCCATTCTCTAGGTTTAGGGTTTCGGGCAGGAAATACAGTAGACAGAGATCGAGGACTCACGCCCACTTCCCCTTGTTAATTCATTTTTGGGTTTATTATTATTATTATTATTATTTTTTGAGGTAATTTCTCCTACATCCTGAATATTTGACGTGTTAACTTTAGTCTAACATTTCATGAGCATGTCATCCTCCTTTTTCTTTTCCTTTTTTTTCTCCCCCTTTGTTGAATTTTTTTTTGACAGATATTTAAACAAACCATTGCATGAAGCATAAGAGAGATATATGATAATTAAAGAGGAAAGTGTACGTATGTATAAATCTATCGTATAATTATATTTCTCATCATCTTTTTGATGTCGAATGAGCAGATACATCTGGAGAAAGAAGAAGTAGCATTGCAGCCATGAAGTGACTCTATGACAGTATACCATTACAGGATTCATCGGTGGATCCGGCAAAAGGGGGAAGTACAAATTTTGCTCCATTCGACGAAGATGTATTTGATTTCATAAGCCACAAGAATTCAATCATATTCAAAGAAAAACCTAATGATCAGACGCCAGAATATTCATATCTTTCATCAGAGGCAAGAAAGGATCAATATCTCGATCAGAACCGAGCATGGGTGAGAGTCCAGGCTCAGCGAATCCAGACGGAGGAGAACCAAGGCCTCGAGCTCGTGAGCTTGCTCACATCGTGCGCTGAATCAATTACATCCAACAATTATGCAGCTGTGAACTACATACTCTCCAGACTAGGAGAACTCGCATCCCCAAGAGGAACTCCAATCCAACGACTCTCAGCTTATCTCACCGAAGCACTAGCTCTAAGGTCGGCCAGAGTCTGGCCAGATCTCTTCTCTATCTCTCCACCGAGAGAGATTGTTGACCAAATCAATGATTATAACGACGGCATCGCACTCAGGCTCCTCGATCAAGTGTGCCCCATTCCAAAGTTCCTCCATTTCACTCTAAATGAGAGACTAGCGAGAGCATTTGAAGGACAAGATAAAATACACATCATTGACTTCAGCATTTCGGAAGGCCTTCAGTGGCCAAGCTTTTTTCAGACCCTAGCTTCGAGGCCTCATCCACCAACACATTTGCGCATCACAGGGATCGGCAATTCTAGACAGGATCTTGAAGATACAGGAGCGAGGCTAAAAGCCCTTGCCGAGTCCTTAAACATCCAATTCGAATTCCATCCGGTTATCGATAAACTGGAGGATGTTCGATATTGGATGCTACACGTAAAAGAGAGTTATTCTATTGCAGTGAGTTGCGTACTTCAGCTTCACAAGGTTTTGTATGATGAGAACCGAAGGGCTCTAGCAAACTTATTAGGCCTCATTCGAAGCACAAGACCGTCGATGCTTTTGGTAGCAGAAGAAGAAGAAGATCACAATAGCCCAAGATGGGAAACAAGATTGGCGAACTCTATGAAGTACTATTCTGCAATATTTGATGCGTTGAACTCATGTTTTCGAGGAGAGGATAGTTTGGCACGGATGAAGATAGAAGAGATGTTTGGTAGCAAAGTAAGGAACATCATCGCTTGTGAATCCGTGGAGAGGATAGAGAGACATGAGAAGTTCGATGTGTGGAAAGGCATGATGGAGGGTTGTGGATTTAGGTGTATCGGGTTTGAAGAAAGAGAGGCAATCCGAGCCGAAATGATCCTGAAAATGTATTCAAATAATGGTGATCAGGGTTTTGGCATGGAGAAGAGAGGAGAAGAGTTTTGTGACGCTCTTACACTTAACTGGAATAACCAGGCTCTTTACACTGTTTCGGCATGGGAGCCTGTATCTGATCTACATGGTTTGTAGTTAAAAGTGGAAAGATTTTGTTCATTCCTTTGATTCTTTGTTTTGGGGAACTGATCGAGGACTGATTTAGGAACAAATGTGTATTTAACACCCTATTTCAGTTCTTTAAAGGATTGGATATGTAATCTTTTGGTATACTTTTATTCTTGATCTTGTTTAAGGGATAAATTTGATTTGGGTTTTGAATCTCTTTTGTTTCTTTCTGTGTTTTCCTTTAGTTTTCTTTTTACATGGCATGATAAAATGTTATGATCTTAAATTGAGTGGGGAATATTAGGTTTTAGGTACTCTTCATCTCGAATTCCACAATGGGAAGAACAAGGTGTTAGCATGCGGCTTTAAATGATTCCTTGGATTGCATCTAGTGTTAGCAACACAGAAGAAATGTAATAAGAGGTTGGCAGTAAAACCTTAGAAACTGTTAAGAGATCAACACCTCCTCTTGAGAATTTTTGTAGAAGATTCTTCAATTCTCTCACTTCTCATGAAGTCATTCTAGAATTCTCTTCAAGTTTCTCCCTTTCTCATTGTATCTCTTCCTCCCTTCTCATCGCTTCTCTCTATCTAGTATATTTTCTGTTGGATTTAAATCTAATTAAATCTATTTGTAGGCACATATGTTATATCAGTGTGTGTTGCTATTTTTTAGTTGACCTGCATAAAGTGATCAATCAGGTAATTGGGTATTTAAATATGTCATGGACTAATTATTGTGTAGATACCGGACTGTAATTTTAATTTTATGAGGGACTAAATTAAAAAATTACAAATCTATATAAAGGGATTATGGTCCCTAATCTAAAGGTTACGTTTTTTATTCTCTAATCCCCCATCTAAAGAGATATTCAAGAGACACCTTTCAGATTAGAAGATCAAATCCTAATTAAGATCCGTGCTCAAATAGTTATGGTTTCAGGTATTACTTCCGCTCATTGTTGTTGTTTAATCTCTATGAATTAGTCACGAATAAGTCTAACAAGTGGTATCAGAGCCACCGTGATTAATCTTATGGATCTAAGATGAAGATTAGGGTTTTTTTTATCTTAATTCAGTTTTATTAAGATCTATGCACGTTTGGATCTTGTGCAAACACGAACTGTTGCTTCCAAAATTTGGGTTTTTTAAACGACTATGTCGTTTTCTGATTTGCTGTTCGGATGGATTAAGAAAAGTTTATCTTTTGGCTTGATTTTTCTTTTGGTTGTTTGGATCTAAATTATATTCAAAATCGAAAGCAAGAGATCAATTTATGGAGTCAATCGTCGATTGCCAAGCTCTTTGCCGGCAATGTTCTGCTAGAGGCCTCGCTGTCAATTGGAGATAGTGTTGGACCCTAGAGGGGGTGACTAGGGTCTTAAGGCTATAATTGTGTAATAAAAATAAGGCAAGCAATACATCACAATAATGAACAACAAATGTAAAGGAGATAGAGTGAAAAATCGTTATCCAAGTGACGCGCGATGTGTTAACGAGGTTCGGTCCGTTGACCTATGTCCCCGCTCCCCACTCTCGAGGAGAATCCACTACACAACCCGGTTTGAAAGCCGGAACTTCTTCTACACAACAATCTCCACGAGATCTCACAACTACACAGTTGATCACCACAAGATCACACTCCCACACAGTTGATCTTCACAAGATCAAGCTCTCAACAGTAGTAATGGTGTAAAAACTCTCTCTTTATAATGTCCCTATGGTAAGGAGAAAGATTACACTGAAGCTGGGAAGTAAAACTAAAAACAGAGAAAATCAGGTTTAAAAATTTTGGCTCTCAGTAAAACAGATCTCTGGTTTTTCAAAAGCTTGGGACACTTGAGGAAGAAAGAATATAGAGGGTTTAAATAGGAGAAAATACAGCTATTTAAACCCATACCCTAATCCCCTAAATCCTGGAAAAATCGACGCTGAAATCTGTACCCAAAAAGACCGTTTGAATAAGTGACGGTTGACCGTACAATTTTCACGGTCGACCGCGAGCCAGCTTTGAAACTTGGAAAATTTCCAAAGACTTCTGCGGTCGACCGTGACGATCAACCGTGGGAATTTTCGAGCTCACGGTCGACCGTGGCGATCGACCGTGAAAGTTTCTGCTGCCCACTTAGAAAAGAACTCAGGCGCGATCGACCGTGGCGGTCGATCGTAAACTGACATATGAGAAAACATGTTTAAAAGTTGATTTTCTGATTTTAAAACCCTATTTAAAAATATCAAATAAATTCCAAAAATTATAAAACTTTGGAAAATAATTGTAGACATGATAGTACACATGCTACAAAAATTGGTTTTCAAAAAGGACTTCCCAAATATAAAATATCATCATTTTGTAAAATAATCCAAAACATGAAAATGTGAACATATGAGTTTTGACATTTTAGCTTAATTATGTTTTGAAACAATACAAAATGATTTTGTAGAATTAATAAAAGATGTATATAATGATTGTTAATTCTATAAACTGAGAATACAATATTTTCACAAATACAATAGAAAATAAAACATATGAGTATGTATATAAAAATATATTTGTTTCATATCTAAGTAGTAAAACCAAATCATAATAATAAATATGAAATATGTAATTTCATATTTATAAACATGAAAACCAAAACTTGTGTTGTATATATATATGACTACATATATATACAAGGAAACCAATAAAATGTGTGTGTATATGATATTGAGCTTAACGTACTAACACACATAATATAAAACCTAAACTAAATTACCCAAGCTATCTTGATCTTCAATAAGCTTGACTTGGTAAACTTGCGAATGAAGCTTGAACTTGGATCTTTAACTTGAATTGTATGGCTTCACTCCATAATTCCGCCAACCTCCATTAGATATGATCGTTGAAGCGTAATTCCATCCAACCTCCAACATATTGTTTGCCTAGAATAAATATAAAACACAAACACTAGACAAACAACATTAGTCGTAAATTATTTGTTAAATATTATCAAAACAAGAAGGCCAACAATTTCTCCCTTTTTGATGATGACAAACAATTTATAAAAAAGATATATGCATGAAAGGAAATGAATATACAATATTATAATTATCATGCATATAAACAAAAAAGAATATACTCACAGTATTTCTCCCCCTTTGACAACATCAAAAAGGGGAAAACAAAAGAGTGAGGAGAGCGAAAGCTCCCCCTATCAATATGCATGAGTGAGTATAAAAACAATAATAGAAAAATATAGAGATTGCTTACAGGTAATTCAACACACGACAATCAAGAGTTAAAGATTCCAGTTCATGTGTGTGCATTCACCTAGGTATAAGAGTAGTTTGATTACATATATTGTATGTTTATATTTAAGCTCAATATGTAAACACGACACAAATTTGACGTTTTCTATCATATAAATGATTTTTCATCAAAGTTTTATGAACACTTTTCAAAAATAGTGAGTTTTCACAAACGAAAACTGCTTTTCCAAAAATTCCTTTTCAAACATGTTTATTTTATCATTTAGAAACTTTCCCCAAAGTTTTACTATTTTTAGAATTGATTTGATATTTTTAACGTATTTTCAAAATCAGCCCAAAACCTGTCAATTGCCATGTATCAGTTTGCGGTCGACCGCCAGCAGTTAAATCTCTTACTATAACTTTTTGTTGTTCGTAGTCGACCGTGACGGTCGACCGTGGCTCCATCCAGACACTTTTACGGTCGACCTTCAGCTTTTAAATTGTTTTCTCAGTGTTTTTGTGCTTCGCGGTCGATCGCGAGATTTCCACGGTCGACTGCCGAACTCATTATTGCTTTCTCAACGGCTATATTCTGATTTAAATCTGTGGGGCTATTTTGGTCATTTCAAGTTGGTTTTGACTGATATTTTGAGTGGGTGTAAATACCCCATTGCTATTCTCTTTCAAATAACTAAAAGAGTTTGTTTTTATAATAAGTTTTAACAAGAGATTAAGAGTTGTTTAAGCGCTGCTTAAGCTGATCTGTTCCAAAAGAAGTTTTTTACAACAAGAAGAAGCTTTCAACTCCTATTTGGGATCATCATCTACTGTTCTTCTTGTTTATTGAGAAGTCTTCTAAACTCTTTCTAATATAGCTTATTGATTCATTTTCATATTCTAGCTATATCTTTTGAGTTACACTTTTTCATTCACTGTTATCATACACACTGTATTGAGCTTAATATTCCATACTATATATTATGGGTAGTGGTGTGTGATTTAGTGAGTGTGAGCTTTATTTCGTTCTCATTTGTTGTTGAGAACAAACCATTGTATTTAACATTTATTTGTGAGTATCACTTGTAATACACTTGTGCACCGAGAGAAGTGTGAGGCGAGAGACGGGGTCGAATCCAATAGGAGTGGCGTCGGTTGATGAACCTAGGGAGAGGTTGCATCCGAGCACTTGAGGAGTATTAGGAATCTTGACCCCAAGATTAGTTTGTTTTGATGATAACAAATATTATATGTTGTGTGTATTATGTACTAACATTTATTTTGTAGTATCAGAGTTACATCGATAATTATATTCAAAGAGATACTCAAGACATAAATGAGTTCAAGGCAAAATGAAGCAAAGAAGAAGATATACTTTATTGTCAAAATGTAATTTTATATTTTCTTTGCTTAGAAATTTGTACAAGCCTTGATCACTCACACACATGCACACACATAGTGTTAGAACACACTAACACATGCTTAGTGTGTTGGTTAACAATAGAAATCCCCTATGTTAGCCATTAGAGTTTATAAATATTGGGTGAGTCTTAAAACATTTCATTTACACCCCTTAGAAATTAGAATCTGGAAAAACTCAAAAGACCAAAGTTGTAGGTCTCTTCAAGAGCTTTCCAACAAATCTTAAATCACCTCATTCCGATATCGGATGAGAAAGTTATAGTCAAAATACTAAACAGAAAAATTCCAGAATCTGAGTTTACAGTGTAGTCGACTACTATGCCTTGTAGTCGACTACTGAGCAATTTTCTGACTTCACAGAGTCTGTTTAGACTCAGTGTAGTCGACTACTATGACTTGTAGTCGACTACAAAAGCAGTTTTTCCAGATTTCAGGTTTAAAATAAGTGACTGTTTATAGCCGTTTTGTGGACGTTAATTGGGTTTAAAATTATGTCATTTCAGAGGCTATAAATAGGTTTAAACATCAGAAAACAACAACCAAGTTTTGCACT